CACACTCACACACACACACACACTCTCACACACACTCTCACACACACTCTCACACACACTCTCACACACACTCACACACACACTCACACACACACTCACACACACACACTCTCACACACACACTCTCACACACACTCACACACACTCTCACACACACACTCACACACACTCTCACACACACACTCTCACACACACTCTCACACACACACTCTCACACACACACTCTCACACACACACTCTCACACACACTCACACTCTCACACACACTCACACTCATACACACTCACACTCATACACACTCTCACACACATACACACACACTCACACACACACACACTCTCACACACACACTCACACACACACACTCACACTCACACACACACTCTCACACACACACTCATACACACTCTCACACACACACACTCTCACACACACACACTCTCACACACACTCTCACACACACTCTCACACACACTCACACACACACACTCTCACACACACACTCTCACACACTCTCACACACATACACACTCACACTCATACACAGTCACACACACTCTCACACACACTCTCACACACACACTCATACACACTCTCACACACACACACTCTCACACACACACACTCTCACACACACTCTCACACACACACTCACACACACTCTCACACACACTCTCACACACACTCTCACACACACTCTCACACACACACACTCACACACACTCACACTCACACACACTCTCACACACACTCTCACACACACTCTCACACACACTCACACACACTCACACACACACTCACACACTCACACACATACACACTCACACACATACACACTCACACACACTCTCACACACACTCTCACACACACTCACACACACACTCACACACACAAATTACATATGTATGTGCTCACAGACTACACATGTACCTGTGTAGTCACACAGCTTTCAAGAAGCCGGGTTCTGTTCAGGGAGTCTGCTCCTCTCCTCCTGCTGTGTCCGTGTTCACCCAGTCCCGTGTGGCACTCTCCAGAAAGCCCTAATGGTTCCCCCACCTGAGTGGCTCTGGGATCCTTCCTACCACATCCCGTCTGCACTCAGAGCTGCTTGCTTGTGTTCTCTGGGCCCTCTGATGATGCAGCTGCAGTACTGACTTCTTTTCGGCCACTTTACGTCCCCCACTTTCCTGAAGGGCCTGCCTCCATCCTCTGTCTGGCTCCTTCTGCTTACATCTCCCCTTCTCTCCAGCCCCTGGTATTTCTATAATTTGAAATTTATAAAAATAAATTTCTATAATTAAACATGATGGGTTTTACAGGTCATCTGGACTCATTATAGACATCCTTCCCCCTTTCCACCCTCTACAGCCTGGATTATCACAAAATCTTTGTGATTTTGTGTCATTCTGTATAGGCATCTCCCAGTTTATCCTCACATTTATATACTGTTTATTCATTTATATACATCTCTGCCCTTGCTGGGCAGAGAGCTGTCTCCTATGTCCCATATTGTAGGCAGTATTTTGTGGAATTCTGTGGGAAGCAGCATTAGGGAGTGGCCAAGGACATGGACTTCTAGTTTATATGCTGCCTACAGTACTGTATGAAAAGAGGTTTAAAGTCTTGGTGCTTCACTTGTCACCAAGAATGGAGTAGCATTTGTCTCTCAGCTTCATGAAAATTAAACAGGAAAACAGACATGTAAGTCATTCTTAATGGCCTCTGACAGAGTAGGTACTACATTCTATTATTTTCCTTTTTGTTGTGTTTTTAAACTCATCTCTATCAATATATTTCATGAAGTAAGCTTACTGGACCAAAGGTTAGAAGGTCTTTGAAATGTTTTGACAAATTGCTTTTGAAAAGTTAAGAGCTGTTTGTACCTCCTGTCTTTTTGTGAAGAGTACACTGTAATTCAAAGCCCTGATTGTAGAAGTTGGAAATGATGATGGAGTCTATTCTTAAGCTGTTAGATCTTTCATCTACTCATGGCCACTCAGCTCAGTCCTACACTCCTAGGCCAATTCTCTCTTCCAGCAGATGTTTGGCACTGTGTTTTCTTTAATCATTTTATAATTTAATGGCTTATTAAGATATTCACTTTTATTCTTTCATGGCGACTAGCATCTTTTTCTTTCTATTACAGGATGAGAGCTGTGCAGGATAGTTTTATGTCACCTTTACACAAGCTAGAGTTATCTAAAAGTAGGGAACCTCAGTTGAGGAAATGCCTCCATAAGATCCAGATGTATGGAATTTTCCTAATTAGTGATTGATAGGGGAGGGCCCAGCCCATTCTGGGTGGTCCCATCCCTGGGTTGATGGTCTTGGGTTCTATAAGAAAGCAGGTCGAAGAAGCCATGGGGAGCAAGCCAGTAAGTAGCACTCCCTATGGCTCCTTCATCAGCTCTTTCCTTCAGACCCAGGCTCTGAGTTCCTGTCCTGATTTCCTTGGATGATGAACAGTGATATGGAAGTGTAAGCCAAATAAACCCTTTCCTCCCCAACCTGCTTTTGATAATTGTTTCATCACAGTAATAGTAACCCTAAGTAAGACAAGTAGGCCAAGCCTTGCTCCCTTGTATGGCTAAGTTTTATGTTGCAAGGAATTCTGAAACTAGGGTACTACCGAATGACCATTCTAGAATCCTTTACCTGGCTGTCTGTTTTGCCTCCTCACTTGGAGTCCAGCATATGTTCACACTAAAGGCTCTACCATTGGCCTCCTGAGATTGACCCCTTTTCCCAGCTCCCAATCTTCTTATTACAAGTGGTCAGGGCCTAGGAAGGAGACATTTGGATTGTCAGTCATGACTCAAACTCTATGTGTTGAAGCACCTAGAGAGGGACCAGATTGGCAGGGGCACTTGGGAAGCCAGGGGATCTTGCAAGCTGAAGACCAGCTTGGTTTACAGAGTGAGTCCTAGACTACCTGGGGCTACATAATGAAACCCTGCCGCAAAAACCAAACCAATAAACAACACATGAGAGTGAAAACCCTGTCTGAGAAGTTACCTACACACATGGGAAGACAGTGAGGGGTGCTGGGATCTAGGAATGGTCTGGTTCCATCTTGGTTCTGCCAGGCTTCTGGTCTGTTCTAAGCCGTGCTGACTACGGGCCAAGAGAGACCCCAGGCATGACCATAATTGTTTCATCTTTGAGCCTTGGTGCAGGTGGTAGCAGCAATGTCAGCAGAAGGTGAACATCCCTAGGCCATCAGTCAGGACCAACATCTGAGAACATGACTGCTGCTTATGAGCCTGGAGGTGCACAAGTGCCTGGTCCCTCTCTAGAGCCATCCTGACTCTATTGCCCAATTCTGTGGGCTGCTAAGAACTACTGTCCTGATTGGTATTCCTTCCTCTGGCTTGGACCAAGTGCATATCACAGGGGCCTCAGGCTGATCAGGGCTCTGTAGCTTTTGTAGATGCCTGTGCTTATCTCTGGTCATCCCAGGGCCCCATCCAGCCCTGGGCCTATAGTAGGAGGTCCTCTCAGTGGCTTCTTCAGGGATCCTCCACTTGTCAGGCTACTGTGGTCTTCCATCTAGAACCTAGGGAACTTTCATTTTCCTCCCAATCTTAGAGAGGCAGCACCTCCCTGGCCAACTGTCTGATGCTAGTGCCCTCTGAACATAAAATTACCGATGTTTACTCAAAGAGCTGATGCAGCCACAGCAGCCAGACAGGGAGACTTTTCTGCAAGTAGCCTAGATATGTTGGCTTCCTTTGAGCTGTGAGGCACTCAGTCCTGGCTACTTTCATGGAGGAGAAGTATATTAGCTATTGCTTTTCTTACTTGATAGAATACCTGACAAAAACCCTTAAGAAAGGAAGGGAGGGTTGGGGGTTTAGCTCAGTGGTAGAGCGCTTGCCTAGCAAGTGCAAGACCCTGGGTTCGATCCTCAGCTCAAAAAAAAGGGGTTATTTTAGTTTGGTCTGAGGTCTGTCACAGCAGAGAAGGCATAGATGTGTGAGGAAGCTGGCCACACTGAATCTGCAGTCAGGAAGCAGAGAGATGAATGCTGGTGCTCAGCTAGTTTTTTCCACTCTGAGACCCCAGCCCAGGGAATGGTACCACTTACATTCAGGGTGGAGCTTCTCTACTCTGTCAGACCTTTCAGGAAACACACTCATAGGCAAATCCAGAGATTGTGTTGCCATGGTGATTTGAAATCCCAACAAGTTGACAATGAAGAGTAACCATCACAGGGAGATGGAAGTACGGGTATATGCAACAAATGCTTCAAACATAGATTATTACCCCGGTAGTCAACCTTGTCACCCAGCATCACCTGGGCATATGGTAGGAATTGAATATGTTTATTGACTGACACCTCAGACCTGTCTCCTTATATTACAGAAAGGGAGAGACATTGGTGTCTCCTATTTGGAGTCACAGAAGACTTGAGAGAGGCTGAAGTGGAATACACGGGTTGGATTTGCATTGGCTATAAGGCCTTGAACATCCACAGAGGCTGTAGGTGAGTTAAAGGTTTCTACTTAATATCACATTTGTCAGCCCAGGTTCCCAAGCTAGGAGCTCTTTAGCCTCTCTCCCCACTGGACTCCACCATGCAACCAAGTCACCATAGTATGGCTCTAGAAGAGCAGCATGAAATCATTCATTGGGCACTGGCCCAACAAATGGGGTCAGTCCTTGCTAAGTCATTTAATGGATAATTACATGCTGTGTAATGCCAAAATGCAGCGAGACCCTGTTAAGAATAAATCTAATTGTTTGCAAGGCATATGATAGAAATTCAGGTTTGGCATTCTTCCACTTTAGGGACTGGGGTATTGAGGCTTTGGCAAGGGAGAGACTTGGAAATAGAACTACTGTTTTTATAACAGCCCTTTTACCCTTAATGCCCATTTTATCCCTGTAAGTGCAGAAAAGTATGGAAATATTGCCATGCTCTTTGGCACAATTTTCTGTGATTTTTTTTTTCTGTTAAAAGCCCCAAGAAAGAGTACATTTCTCTACCTACTTATTTGCCACTGTCAAAAGATAACAAAATTCATGAAAGTCTCTTCTGTCAATCCTCAACAAATATGCAATTATTTCAGGCTAGCTTTAAGGAAAAATTATTTCCATGGCAGAGACTTGCCTCTTTTCTGAACAAAAGCAGGGTGTTGTTGTCTCCAGATGTTTTCATTCTCTGAGGATTGCAGATGAACATCTGCTTCAACACATGCAGGTTACTTTCCTCTAGGTGAGCTGGCTCTGGTGCCTTTTTGTGAATAGCAAGCAGGGATCACAAAGTAATTTCTCTCACAGCCTTAGAAAACCTATCATTTCAGGACATTCCATGGGGATATTGGGCAGTAAGTAATGGGAAAGCTTAAAGGGGAGGAGAAAATAGACGATCTTGCCTACTATAAACCAGGGAAGATACATAATGGGAAGTTCTTGAAAGATACACAATTGACCACCTGTCACAAATAATTGATGACTGAGATCCTGAAGAATGTGGCCATGATAAAAATTCTGTGTAGATACCCACATACTCCACATCTTCCTGACATCTTGCTGGTTTCCTTTTTGCAGAAATCTCTGTGGGATCAAATTAGAAGCACTATTTGCAGAAAGGCAATATTCTCTCCTTCAAGCTTTGAAAGCAGAGCTCCTTGTCTCCTGGGGAGCCTTGGTTTGGCTTTCATCCTTATATTGAACTTTCAGCCTTGAACTTTATGATAAATACATGCAGACCTTGGTCCACCTAAAAACAATGATATAATGGGCATTCCTTTTGGTAGAAGAATAAACAGGACTCACCTGAATACTTGAACTCTGGAATGAATTAACCCAAATTAACTCTGGGGTTTGACAAGTCCTTCATGGAATTTTTTCCTAAAGTGCTCTGGATTCCTTTGCAGTTTTGCTTGAATAAAAAAATTACCATTGTGCATGGAAGGAGCAGGGTGGCTGCTTGCAGCCAGGTGGAAGTTGCAGGAATGTTATTGTTGGCTCACTGCAGGGAAAACCTTTGCTCTTTGACAGGAGAAATGAGGGTTACCTTACATGGTTCCTTATTAGTGAAGGAAACTGTGGATAGAACCGGAGGGAGTCTTGGGAGGGCCACTTAAAAGTCTGTGCCAATGAAGCAAATGATCTTTAAACGTGGTGACATTGGTGATCTGCTTACATTCCCTCATCCAACTGCTAGCACCTGAGAACATTTTTGTGGCATTGAGACTATTTTGCTTGCCCATGATGCTAGTGATGAAACACCAGGAATGAATGTCCCTATTCACATGGCCCTCAACCAACGATCCTTGCTCTCTCATGCTTCCGATGGGTAATGCTTTGTTTTGCCTCTGAGAGCTTTCCCTAGGGGATTAACCTTCTTGCCTGCAGTGCTAACTGGCTTGATGGTAGCCCTGTCTACTGGATGAACCTACATCAGGTTTTGGGGTGACTCCTCTTCTCTGTTTTTACTCTCAGTCTCATACCCATTTACTTTCAACCTTCCAAATAAACTATATGTCATTTTCCAGGCACTTTTTCTAGGGTAGCCTAGACTAAGATGATGTTTATCTTGTCTGAACAGCACAGGGGACATGGCCTGAGACTGGGCCCTTTTAAAGTGAGTACTACTGAGTATTGTGCACAGTTCCAGGGTGCTATGTTATGAGAAGACCCTGCAGCTCTTATGAGAATAGAAATGACTCACTGACCATCTCTTGCCTGCTGTCCCACATTTTTTGTCTGCATAACAGGGAACTTAATTGGTCTTATAGTTACCTGCTGCTCACTGCCTTGCTAGCATGCCGATGCTATGTGAAGTGATACACTAGCTTGGTTTGTTATGACATTCTGCCTCCATATGCTTCCCCATTCTTTAGAGCCAAGGAACCTGTACTTACTATAATATCAAAGCCAGGGGCCTTTGGCTAAACTGCTCTAGAAGATTCCTAAGAGTGGTCTTCTGCTCACTTTGGCCTCCTGAGATACTTGTCCTGAGACACAGTTCTGGCAAATCCTGTATAGACAGCAAGATTAAAGACTAGAGGTATCATTTAGATACTGAGTTTTACTGTGGATTTAGGGGTAGATCTCTCAGAAAGCCAGGCTAAACCTGTCTTGCCTAAGCCAGATATGAATGCCCTGAGACATCATCATGTTTATTCTCTTAACTTAAAAGTCCAGAATCCTGGTTAACTTAAAAAGATAGTATTGAGCCTCCATGAGTTCACAGTCCTCAGTTTCTCTATATTTCTCTGACTATGGAATTCATAGGCAGGCTGCGCCTGGTGGTGTATGTGCCTATATTCCAGCTACTCAGGAGGCTAAGGCAGTTGAGGCCAGCCTGAACAACATAATGAGGTTCTATTTTAAATAAAATCTAAACATGCATAGGAGAAAGAAAGACCATGAGCAAGGCCTGTTTCTGGGTATTAATAACAGAAGTAGCCTGAAGTCAGCCTCTCATTCAAGGACTGGATAAGAAGTGCTAGAATCCATTGCTGTAAGCCAACTGTAAATGCCTTATTAAGCTACTGAAATGGGCACAAGTTTCCACCCATTTCTGCTTCCCTTCTTGGCATCCTTCCCTTGTCTCTACTAGAAGACATTTGTTAGGGCTCCCCTGCTTCTAAACAGCAGAATGGGTCACCTGTTTGTCTCATCACAACTCTTTAACATCCTTTAACGAGTTTATGATTAGGCTAGGGAGATGGCTCAGAGTGATTGGTGGACAATTATAAAGACCTGAGTAAAGATATTTGCCCCGCCTGCAGGGCTACAATGGGTTCTCGACCACCCTAAGGAGGGAATGTAGGGACAGGAGATACAAAGGAAAACACACCAAGTCTAGATTCTGATCAAGGTGCCACTTTATTTCTCTTCCAGAAAGGTTTATATAGTTCCGCAGGGTGGGGGGAGCAAGAGGCTGTCATCTGCATAAGGTGGGGCAAGCTAACAGGATGTTTGTATAGGATGTTTACAGAGTGAAAGGGTCAAGGGCTCTGACTCAATGTCCTGTTGCTAGGCAACCTGACTATTAGCTGATCTAGTTCCCTGTCTTATTGGGGGTCTGTATTTTTCCACTAACTAGAGATTCTGTCCTTGTCCCTGACAGATATTAAGCATCCACATTAAAAGGCAGGCATGATGGCATGCATGCATCTAACCCCAGTAGTAACCCAGGGGTGTTTGTGGAGATAGAAGTCTAGGATCACTGAAGCTTGATGGTTTCCAGCCTAACTACAGCTTCATTGAGAAACCCTGTTTCATGGGAGAGTAATAAAGTTGGGCTCCTTTCATCCTCCTCTGGCTCCTGTGTATGCATGGATGTGCTTATTTGCATATGTGAATATATCACTCCCCATACACACAAAGACTTTATAAGCCTTTATATGATGTTAACTATTCTACCTGTTGTGGGGCTGGAAGGAGTTCGGAGTTTCCCACTAGGCAACTGGTCTCTCCAATGATTTCTTCGTTTGTTTCAGAGACTTACCTCAGTATCAACTTCAGCAAGTTAAACACTGATGTGCTGAGGACAATTTCCATGGACTTCCTGTGCTCTGCTAGAAGACACTTGGTAGGCAAGCCATCTTAAACCTGTAAAAGTAGCATGGCATTAACATGGACATTTAAAAAACTTCTTTGAACTTTCACTTTCTTATTTTTCATTTCTACAGGTTTCCTTTCAGCTCTCATGTTGTCATGCAGACCTCATGCCAACATTGTCTTTTCTCTATTTCCACAAACACTTTACAGCAGTGGTTCTCAACCTTCTCAATGCTATGACCCTTTAATATAGTTCCTTATGTTGTAGTCACCCAGCCATAAAAATATTTTCATTGCTACTTCATAACTGTAATTTTGCTACTGTTATGAGTCATAATGTAAATATCTGACTTGCAGGATTTTTGGATATGTGACTCCTGTGAAAGGGTCAATCGACCCCCAAAAGGGTCACCACCCACAGGTTGGGAACTGCCGCCCTGCAGTGAATTGTGTAATGGCTTCAAACAAGTTTTGCCAGTGTAGTCCATCTTGTAGGTGATGAAGGACATTTACAGCTTTGAGATTTAGTAAGGGACACCTTAACAAGGGAGGTGTTGGCTTTCCTGGAGTTCCTGCTCTAGCATCCATTCCAGGGGGTAACATCATCCAGCAGAAACTGGAGACACTTCTCTGGATTTGGATAAATATATCCATAGTGCTTTCCAAAAGGGTGAGTCCATGCACTCTGTCGTCTCCATGGACTCTACACAGCTTGGTGCATCCATATGTATAGAGTAATCTAGAAGAATTCCCACCTCTCTCTTATTTGGAAAGAAATTGTCCTCATCCTCCGGAGGAAGAATTAGACATGATCTCTTCAGGGGCTGGGGAGATGGCTCAGTTGGTAAAGTGCTTGTGACCTAAGCATGAGAACTCAAATTTGACTTCCTGTAACTTGTATAAAAACTCAAGTATGGTGGTATACATACTCCCAGAGCTGAGGAAGTAGAGACAGGAGGATCTGGGAGTTTGCTGGCCGGTCAGGTTAGCCTATTCAGTGAGCCCTAGGTCTCAATGAGAGACTTCTCTCAAGGGAGTTGGATAGTATTTCTAAGGAGAACATACAAGGTTTTCCTCTGGCCTCCACAGGCATCACACTCACATACATTTGAGCTTGCACACATGAAAAGAAAAAAAGAAAGAAATTTACATACACAGATACTAGTAGTTTTTAACCATACAAAACATACTGCAGACACTCATCATTTTGAACTTGCATCCCAACCATTGCAGCCTCTTTGTAACAGGATTGGTTTCTCAACACATTAAAATAAGTCATTACAGGTCTGTGTATATACACCCACTGATCCATCCAACAATCCATGCATCCACTCTTTCCTCTGCTTGTGCCCAGCATGGTGCCAGGGACTGAAGACAAAGAAACTACTATGATGAACTTCCTGACTGCAAGCTAGTAATTAGATCCTAATGGGAAGATGGTCTGCCATTTTGAGGGCCCCTCTGATTTCTATCTAGTACCCTTAGTATGACCATATAACTCAACACCAATGCCAACCAATGATCTTTTCATAAAAACATACTAACCATAACATTTCCCTGTACTCTGGAAAATATCTTCAGTATTCAAGCTGTATCTCTATTTCATTTAAACTCCTTGTATTAAGATGCTGCTTCTAAGGAACTAAATTTAGTTTTGAAAAACTGTTCTGAACTTTGGAGTCATTAAATGTAGCCTTTGTGTGTGTGTAATATGACAGAGAAAAATTGCAGGCAGTAGCATCTATATTGAAAATTCTGCACTGGATTGCCATCAATTGCTAATAATACATCATAATTATTCTTATAGGGTTAAGCTTTTCTCTTTCCTCTTCCACCTGCCTTGCTGAGATAACCTCTAAGGATGTCCGGGAGGATAGGAGGGCTGGAATTCAAAAGCTTTCATGACAGCTGAGCTTTCCATGCAATTCATTATAGTGAAAAGATGGGGAGGGGGTTGTCAGCCAAGATAATGGCTGTGCAATTTCCAGTCCATTCTCCTTGCAGCCAGATCTTGGAGGCAGCCCATGGACCAATTTCATCAAGCAAACCCTGCTCATCTCTCATCTGTCTATATTGGGAAAGAGGTTGTGTCTGGCTTGAGCGAGAGCAGGCTGGCATCAGGGCTAGAGTGGGGGAGTTGGAGAGGGACAGGCTGGAGTGGTAGACAGGCTCATCCCCAGAGCTTCAAATCTTGGGGTTCTTGGGTGTGGTACTGACTGACATCAATGCCAAAGGGACAAAGGCAGAAGGTGGAAGATGTACGTGTGTGTGTGTGTGTGTGTGTGTGTGTGTGTGTGTGTGTGTGTGTGTGTTCCTAGATTTCCCAGCTTTGACCCCAGAGCCAAGCAAAGCAAAAACTCCATAATGTTTGTTGTCTGAATGATTATGATGGAGAGGGAGAAAACAAATGCAAGGTATGGAATTAGTGACAGCCATGAAATTTATGCCCAGTTCTTATGGGAAATGAAAGTCACAAGCCTCTTTACTTCTGCCAAAGGAATAAGATTCTTTGCAGGAGTATTATAGCCTGAGAGCAGGGCTGATGTGAAATTATCTGGTGAGAGGAATCTCAGATATCTCTAATACCATTTTTATGGGGACTCAAGGTTTTAATAGAACACTGAGGTTGTTGCATCTGTTGCGACAGGCTAGACCCAAGGAAATCCCGTGCACACCCGAAGGGAAGCCAAGTGGATCTTTGAACACAAAGGCTGTGGTTCCTTCCAGCTGGAAGTTGGCAGGTGTCACACATGTGAGTGTTTTGTGTAGGTTTCCACCCTCATTCTCACTTTAAGAGCTGTTTCATTTTCTCCCCTAGCCCTGCTACCCCCCTTCCCTTATGCCCCTTTCCATTTGTATGTTCTTGGCAGATTCTCAAGGTTATGGTCACTGCTGAAATAATGGCCTTTCCTCATTGCAGTAAGGAAAATCCAATCTTAAAAACTACAGCAAGTAGCACTGGCAGGGGAAACTAGAAGAGCTACTGGATAATAAGTGTTTAAGTGGAGCTGGAGAGATGGCTCAGAGGCTAAGAGCACTGGCTGTTCTTCCAGAGGACACAGGTTCAATTCCTAGCACCTACATGGCAGCTCACAACTGTCTGTAACTCCAGTTCTAGGGGATCCCTCTCACAGACACACAGGCAGGAGAAACACCAATGCACATAAAATAAAAATAAATCCTAAATAAATAATTAAAAAATAAGCATTTAAGTCTTTCCTGCACCCAACTCCTTCAGAAGAAGGCAACAACAGATGGTTTTAATTGTCCTTCTGCATCAAGTCTCTGCGCTTCTACAGTAAAAATACCTCCAAATTTTAAAAAAGGTACAAAGTTGCTTGGAATGAAGTCTGCTTTTTCAGTCTCTCATATCCACTGTGACCATGTGACTGAATTCTGGTTTGAGATCCAAGCACAAGTGACAGATCTAACCTCCTTTGTTTTCTTTTATTTCATTATTAAAAACAACTAAGTATGACAGTGCTCACTGATCATGAGAGAATGATTTCAGGACTCCCTCTCAGATGCAAAAATTCACAGAATTTCAAGACTCTGAAATCCAATGGTGTCACAATCATATATAAACTATACATATCCTTCCTGCAGACTTGAACTCTGGATTACTCATGCTTGCTACCTTATGCAATGAACATGTTATGAAAATGATTGTTGTACTGTATTATTTATGGAATAATAACAAGAAAAATGTCTGTGTATGTTCAAGAGATGAAAAATATTTGGTAGTTTTGTTTGATGTGGTTCTAGGGGTTAAATCAAGGGATTTATATACACTAGGCAAGTGCTGTACCATGAATCTCTATCTCCAGATCTTTTATATAATATTTTTGATCCAAATTGGTTGAATCCTATGGACATAGGGTTAAGCATATAATTTACATACAGAGTTTAGTTGTATGACCCAAGAGAATTTGACACATGTTCACACTCTACTTGAGACAAAGGATTTTTTTTTTTAATTATCCAGGCCAGTCCCTTATATCTCCCTTTTTGATGCATCCTTTCTCCCTGCCCTATTCCAGATGATCCTCTAAGTCTCCCTAAGCCTGAACCAACTACTTGTACCTGTTAGTTTTGCTGACCCCTGCTTTTGAGATAGGGTCTTCTATGCAGCCCAGGCTGGTCTCAAACTTATAAACTGTATGCCTCAGCCTCTAGTGCCTGTTCTTGAAATAGAAATGCAGTTTTATAGCATGTCTATAAGCTTTTGGTTTCTGGCTCTTTTCATTCAGCCCACTGTGAGATTTGTTCATGTTGTTGCTTGAAACTATTGTTTATTCCTTTTTATTGCCAAGTGATGGTTCCTTGCAGTGATATATCATATTTTATCTATTCTCCTGTTGACAGGCAATTGGTGTTTCTGGTTTAGGAATGCTAGGAATAAGGCTGCTGTGGTGATTGTTGAATAAATCTTCTTGTAGAGTATTTTTATTTCTCTAAGGAATGGAATTTTTTGGGTTGGTGGGTAAGGGTGTACTTGATAAGAAATTGCCAAGGAGTCTCTCAAAGTCATTTTATTTTGCAGTTTCTTCCAGCAGCATAGGAGGGTGAAGTTGTTTCACATCTTCTATTATGGATATTTTTAATTTTAGCCATTCTAGTGGGCATTTTGCTGGTATATATTGCAGTTTTCATTTGCATTTCCCAGTTGACTGTTGACAAATCTCATGGAATCCTTCTGTGTGCTTACTGCCTATTCATATTCTTACATGCCTGATTTGCCCACTGAAAAAATGGATTGCTTATATTTTAAAAAACTCTATCCACTTCTGATGTAGAGTTTAAAGAGTTTTCACAAGCATGTGTGTTGTTGACCTCTACCAAAAGCAAGATACAAGCATGTCCATTCTCTCAAGAATTCCTTCAGATGCCTTTTACAGCTAACCTTCATCCTTCCTCTCTATCCCTGTGCCTAACCAGCCACAAATCTGCCTTTACTGTTAGCCTTGTAGGGTTTCAAAAGAACAGAATTATACTGTGTATATAATTAGTTTTCACTCAGCATTTGTGTTTTCGAGTTTTATCCACATAAGAGTTGTATCAGGGGCTGGAGAGATAGCTCATTTAGTTAAGTACTTATTGTGCAAGCATTAGGGTTTGAGTTGGGTCTGCAGTACCTCATAAAAACTGGGCATGGTGGCATGCATCTGCAGCCTTAGTGCTGGGGGCTCCGGAGACAAGCTAATCCCTGGAGCACACTTGCTATCAGTGTAGCCAAATCAGTGACCTCTATATTTTGTATTTGTCTCAAAAAATAAGATAGAAAACAATAGAGGAAAACAACCTCATATCAACCTCTGGCCTCCACATGCTTACACATAGATACACACACACACTCACATACACACACACACCTAGCCTATACTTACTGCCTGGCTACTGGCCAATCACATTTTATTTATATATAGAGAGATCCACAACACTACTGCTTGAGTTACAAATTCTTTTTTATATTCTAGATACAAGTCTTAAAAAACATTTTTGTTGTTGCCTTTGCTGGACTGTAACTCCATGTAGATTAGGCTGGTATTGAACTCACAGAGATCTGCCTCTGCCTTCCAAGTTCTGGGAGATTAAAGGTATGCAGTACTATACCCAGCCTGGATACAAATCTTTTATCAGCTGTGTATTCTCTATATATTTTCTTCTAGTCCATGACTTGCTTAAGAATATTTTCCAAAGGAGTGAAAAGTTAATTTTGATGAAATGCAAGTTATTTACTAGCTACCTTTCTTTTTTTCTTTTGGGTCAGGGTCTTATGTAGCCCAGGCTAGCTCTGAACTCTGAACTTGAACTTATAATTCTCCTGCCTCCACCTTGTACATGCTGAGATTAGGAGATTAGAAGTATGTACCATTATATCTGGTTTATGTCTGGGGCTCGAACCCATGACTTCACATGTGCTGGCCAAGCACTGTACCAATCCAGCTGTTTTCCTAGCCCCATCGAGTTCGCTTTTTTTTTTTTTTGTGGTTTATGCTTTTGTGTCTTCTTTTGGATTAAACAAATGTATTTTATAATTTTAAATATGTTTTATGTGGCTTTCAGTCACATCTCTTAATACTTTTGTGCTGTATTCTCTAAGGATCAACTATGTATCTATACTTTGCCATAGTATTAGATTCATGAACAAAACTTTTTCCCATCTTTTGTGCTATTGCTATAGTTACTATTATGCACCCAACCATATACAGATGTTCCTCTAATTATGATGGGATTATAGCCTGATCAACTCATCATAAGTCAAGAAAATTGTAAGTAAAAATGCCTTTTATTCACCTTACCAAATATCACAGCTTAGCCTCACTTGCTTTAAATGTGTTCAGAACGCTTCCATTAGCCTATGGTTGGGGGCTGGAGAGATGGCTCAGTGATTAAGAGCACTAGCTGCTCTTCCAGAAGTTCTGACCTCAATTCCCAGAAACCACATGGTCGCTCACAAACATCTATAATGGGATCTGATGTCCTCTTCTGGCATGCAGGTGTACATGCAAAGTACTCATACCTAAAAAATACATAAGAAAAAAAAACACCCAAAAACCATCCAACATGAAGTCTATCTTATAATAAAGTATTGATTAGCTTGTACAATTAATGAGTCCAGTATTGAGTACCATATAGATATGCTTTTCCACCATTACAAAATTGAAAAACGATTAAATGGGAACCATCTATATTGTTACTGTTTTCAGTTCTAGAATTTCTATTTAATTCTTCAAGCCTATATTTAGGTAGAAATAAGCTATTTATCCAGCCATCATTATCAGTCTTGACATATAAGATATTTAACATGCTGATTTTAATTTCTTACCCATTAATTTCTAATGATTAGGTCACCCGCGGATCTGCTTTTGATTGTTTCTGACTTTCCTCACTCTTTGTTCATGTTCTTATTCTTTGCATGCTTCACTGTATTTATTTTGTTTACTTTTCAAGGCGCATACATCTGTCTTGCAGCTGACCATTGAGATTCTTCCTATAGTGTGACTTCACTGCAGTCTTTCTTGGGTGCAGTTTATCTGTGGTGATTCCATCCCAAACTTGTGTCTCCTTCATTTGGTTGTTGGTATTGGAGTTGGGGGGGGGGCAGGGACTGGATTGTAGTTTACTTTGCATTTCCCAGTCCATTTGCCTTGAAGTTGGGTAGAGCTGGGTAATTAGTCTGCATTCTTGCTCTTACATCCTCACTTCCTTAATTGGCAACATGAAGAGTTTGGTCTGGGTAGTTTATTTTTACCTGTTGGATACTTCCAGATCTCATGCATCCTGCCAGCTCACACAATTTCTGGTAGTTCTGTATTTCTTCAGTTTGGCCAATCTGGAGCCCTGCTTCCCAGAATTCTCTTTCTTGTGCTTCTGGGCCAGGTTAGGCCACAAGAGACATTGTTCATAAATCTTGAACAATAGAAGCAGAGTTGCAGGTAGATCATTTTACATTCTGAAGGTCAGTGAGGTGCCAGGGATACTAGCTGGTATGGGCAGCAGCTGACCCTAGTTCCCTTGGCTCCTCTGCAGTACCTTCTATCTTTTCCAAGCTGCAGGTCAACATCATGTTCTGTTTCCCCCCTTCTTGTCCTACACAGGCCAAGGGTGACAGCTTTTTCTGTAGCTCATCATCAAATTTAGAAAGACTGGCATATGTGAGTTCCAGTGTCCCCCCACCACTTTGTAATGAGAGTTCTCTTTTTTCTCCTTTCTCATCTTCTTCCTCTTTTTCCTCCTCCTTGTCCTCCTCCTCCTCTTCCTTCTGTTTTCAGAAAGGGGTCTCTTGTGGTTCAGGCTGGCCTCTAACTCACTATGCAGCAGCTGAGGGTGCTCTTGAACCTCTGATCCTCTTGCTTCTTCCTCCTCTTGCATACTGGGATTACAGCAGTGTGTCATTATGACACATTTGTGAGTCTTGAGGACTGAAGGCAGGCTTCCTGTGTGCCAGGTAGGCACTCTGTCAGCTGAGCCATATTCACAGTCCTTCACTGCGCTTTCATGGTATCCCTGTGCCTCTCAGTTCACCCTTGTCATTCTTGTTCTTCTTCTTTTTTTTTCTTCCATTTTTAGTTTCCTTTCTAACTGATCCCTAGTGGCTTCAAGCCTCACTAGTTACACAGGCAATAACAGTGTTGATCATTCAACTGGATCACTAGACTGTTATGACAAAGTCATGAAAATATCCTTGGTCCTGAACCCTGGGAATTAACTGTGTATTTCTGATGGACGTTGATGGACACACAGTCTAAGTCTAGGTTGATTCTGCCTCATCCTTCCTGAAGGCTCTCTCCTTGAATCCCACACCCCTCATTCCTAGACCAGTTCCCCACCATTTTTCAGGTATGGAAGCTACCATGGTCCTCTGCTCGCCTGTAAAGGGCTTGCTTCCTTTCAGAATCCATTTTATCAGGGCTTCCTTACATTCTTTACTGTTTTCAAGACCCATAAAATTGTATGATTTTTATTTTGTCCAGGTTTTTCTTGTTATTACCACAGGATCAACAGTCTTTTCAGGGATTGGCAGGGTGGCCCAGGTGGTAAAGGAACCTGCCACCAAGGCTAAAGATCTGAGTTTGATCCCCAGGACTCACATGATGGAAGGAAAGAACTGTTTTCCCCTAGGTTGTCCTCTGATCTCCACATGAGTACCATGTTACATGTGCATACACATACATACACAAACAAACAAGTGTAATTAAAAAATGCCTTTTAATCCTCTCATCTCCCAAACCCTAGCAAAAATTGGGGGAAATGTTGTAAATAGATATGGATGTGACTTTCTTGTCTTGCTTCCTTTCTGATGCTGGAAATCATTGGAGACTCAGAGACCTGCTTGTGACCATGCTTCACACAGCAGAGGGGAGAATGGAAGGCAAAGGGGCAAGGCTAAAGAAGCCCTAGAAAGAGAATCCCCAGAGCTTTGATGTTTAAGCCTCTGACAATTGTATTTTTCTGATTCAAGAAGCCACATCTGTTTCCAACAGACATGGCAGTTGGCTGGGATTTTGCAACACTATTGGCTATGGCACAGTGAAAGAAGATAGAAGAAGACAGAGACTCTGGAGATTGGGGTGGGGAGTAATAATATTGTTTTGAGAGGTCATAGAACTTTTAAGACATGGGGCCTAGCTGGCCGACATAGGTATGTAGGAGTGGGACTTAAGGGTTCTAGACCAGCTCCACTTCTAGACCAGGCTTCCTGCCCCCAGGTGTGAGCAAGTAGCCTCATGCCCCACCCCTCATCCCAGGAGCTGGTTATTCTGCATGCCTTTTTCATTGTTTCCACTCAAACTGTGAGCCACAATAAAATCCTTCCTCCCTTATTTCTGTCAGGTATTCTGTCATAGTGTTGGCAGAAGCAGCTAGCACAGGAAGCCTCTCTTTTGTGACTTCCTCTTGAAGTGTGTAGCAGTTTCTTTCCAAGGAAATTTTAAGGAATTGTACTTGGGTTTCTTTAGATGCAGCACTGTGCTGACAGGCCTTGAAATAGGCCCATTTTATTTAGGTTCTAGCAAATACTGGGATGAACCTGAGGCTAGGGGATGGCTTGGTTAGTAAGACTCAACACTTCTTGTCTTAGTGTGCCTCAAGGAAGCAGTGGCCACACAGTCTTATGCTCCCAAATTATCTAGTCTAGAAGGGTCTGGGGCTAGTGCTGGTCATCATTTCCCTGTGTCAGTTGAAGGCAATAATTGCCCATTACTGTACTATGGTGAGATTTCCCTCCTGAGGTTCATGGTCTTCCTGGGGACTTATTACCTCTTCTCAGGCTGGCTGGGGGCTGACAGTCAACGGACTCTCTCTTACCTAAGTCTGTTTCCCAGCTGGGAATTCAGCCTTGTGAAGTTGGTGAATCCTAGTTTATCCTTTCATCATTTCTAGGATCTTCACTGAATGGGCAAACTGGAAAGGAAACATTGTCTCCAACCTGGAAGTGAAAACTGAGACCAGCGGAGGGAAGAGGACTCGGTCAAAAGTGAGCAGCCATGAAGCGCCTCTCTGGCCTGACCCCTGTGTCTCAGAACTTGTGGTCCAGGGTGGGTCCTTCTCACTCCTAACTCCAGATACACGGGGAAATGAAAAGAACCCAGATGAAAGGAAGCCAGAAAGATGGCTTTTACCTGGCTTCTCTCTAGCATTCTGGAGTCCTGTCTTCAATCCCTTTGGGGGCTTTTCCTCTCCATGGCAGGGGCAGAGAGCTAGAATACTGGTATACCAGTAAATTCGTCCCTGTCCACAAAGTCAAACTCCACAACCCAAGTCCTGGGGTTTTCTCCCACACACTGATGGCCAAAGGTAGAACAGATGATGTGGGATCAAGTCATGGATGGCTTTGTCTAATTCAGTGGTTCTCGGTGGAGGGAGGGGATGATTTTGTACACATTTAGCAATGTATGGAGCTGTTACTAGTTTTCATTACTTAGGAGAGTATGGGTAGATGCTTCTGGCATCCAGTATAGAGACCAGGGATAGTATTAAATACCCCACAGTGCATAGGGCATTTATCCATGACTAAGAATTATACAGCCACAATTGGTAATGTCCTCATAAACTAATTTTGATCAATGCAATGGGAGCTTCATTAAGCCTGTTGTACCTTGGTACATAACAAGCCCACAGTCTCAGTACAAGCCACTTAATGAAGAAATCATATCCATGTATCTGGGATTCCATGGAGAGATTCCCTTGGCTGGATTCTGGCCCAGTTGGCTGCATTCTAGCTGGGTTCACCTCTGCTTGAGAGTGTGAGAAAGTCAACTCACAGAAGCTCACAGGTTTTAATGTCTGACATTGGCAAGCTCCTTCTAATTATTTGTCCATTTTTTGCCAACATCTATTTTGAATGTGTTTACTTAACATGTTTTGTTTCCACTAATGTTTCTCTTCTAAAATAAAACGTATTTAATGTTTGATCAACAATACCCAATTCTCCCACCATATACTGTAGCTAGAGTTTTTCTGCCTGGCTCACAGTCAGGACAAATCTTTGTCACCTGCCAGTCCCACAGCCGCTCAGACCCAACCAAGTAAACACAGAGACTTATATTGCTTACAAACTGTATGGCCGTGGCAGGCTTCTTGCTAACTGTTCTTATATCTTAAATTAATCCATTTCCACAAATCTATACCTTGCCACAGGGCTCGTGGCTTACCGGCATCTTTTCATGCTGCTTGTCATGGTGCCGGCTGGCAGTGACTCCTTCTGCCTTCCTGTTCTTTCTTTTCTCCTTTCTGTTAGTCCCGCCTATACTTCCTGCCTAGCCACTGGCCAGTCAGTGTTTTATTTATTGACCAATCAGAGTAATTTGACATACAGACCATCCCACAGCACAGCCAAATGCAGACCATCTCAGACACCTGCACTCAGGCCTGTGGTCCTGATCATCCTCTATGTGGACCTGCTGGGTAAAGCCACTAGGAACCCGAGAACGGGCTCCCACAGGACATACAGAACATCCCACAGCAAAATACCATCTTCAAAATTTCTTACACATCTTAAAAAAATTGGTGACATTCTTAGCTCATGATCAGTCTCCCTGCCAACCAGCATTGGCAAGTTAATCAACCTCCAAGCTCTGCCTTCCTCACATACAGAATGGAGCTAATGATTCCTGTGTTGTAACATGGTAGACATTGCTTAAGACAGGGCATGCAAGTGTACTTAGTGGAGAGTCCCTTATAACTGGCTGGGTTTTCCTTTAAATGTATTTGGGATTTTGTTTTAATCAGATAGGGTAAGATGGCAAATACAAAAGGAACTTGAAAGAAGAACATATTGCAGTTCCCAAGAGGACAAAGATGCAAAACCACCCAAGGCCACAGGAGGAAGCATCTAGGTTAGTAAGAAAGCAAAAGGTGCAAGGCCAGAGTTAGTCCTCACTGGGGTATTTATGAGGAGGGATAAGAAAGGAAAGTCAAATTTGAGTAAATTTATGTAACACTGGGGGCTTCTAGGATAAAAGGTGGTGTGTAGTTGCTGAGTGCCTGGCTCAGGGCTGACCTCAGGCATGGGGAGTGCTTCCTTAGGGGTGATTAGGTATATGTGCTTTGGGTTGGTTGGTTTGTGTATGAAGGATGTCGTGCTGGTTGTTTTTTTTATAAACTTGATACAAACCTAGACATATCTGGTGTAGCAGTTTGAGTGAAAATGGCCCTATAGGCTCATAGGGACTGGCACTATTGGGAGGAGTGGCCTTGTTGGAGGAATTGTGCCACTGGGGGCAGGCTTTGAGGTCTCAGATGCCAGGCCAGTGGCTCAATCTCTTTCTGCTGCCTGTGCATCCAATTGTAGAACTCTCAGTTCCTTCTCCAGCACAATGTCTGCCTATATACCTCCATGCTTCCTGCCATAATAATAGACTAAACCTCTGAACTGTAAGCCAGCCCCAATAAATGTTTTCCTTTATAAAAGTTGCCATAGTCATGGTGTCTCTTCACAGCAATAAAACCCTAACTAAGACATCTGGTAAGAGGGACTGTTAATTGAGAAAATGCCTTCATAGGATTGGCCTACCGTGCATTTTCTTGATTGATGTTGGAGACCCCAACTTACTGTGCGTGGTGCCACCCCTAGGGATGTGGTCCTGCATGGCTAAGAAAGCTGTCTTAGCCAGGTGGTGGCACACACCTTTAATCCCAGCACTTAGGAGGCAAAGGCAGGCAGATCTCTGTGAGTTTGAGGCCAGCCTGGTCTATGGAACAAGTTCCAGGACAGCCAGAGCTACACAGAGAAACCATATCTTGAAAAACAAAACAAAACAAAAAACTACCACTACCACCAGCAGCACCAGCAGCACCACCACCATCATCATCAAACAACAGCAACAACAACAACAACAAAAAAGAAAGCAATCTGAGCAAGCCAGGAAACAGCGCTCCTCCATGGCCTCTTCATCGGTTCTTCTGCATCAGAACCTCCAGGTTCCTGCCTTGAGATCCTGCTCTGACATCCCTGGATGATGGACTCCAAGCTATAAGCTGAAATAAACCCTTTTCTCCCCATGTTGCTTTTGGTCATGTGTTTTATCATTGTTATTTATTTGTGGCACAAGAGAAACCATGAGGTACAACGAAACCCACTGCAAGAGTTTATTAGGGGAGGGTAAAGAGTGGGTGTGCAATATGCCTACTAGAAGCTACCAGTGTAGAAGAAGGGGTGAGGGAATGGGTGGAATCTGCTTTTGTGGGTCCCCCTGAACATGAGCATATGGGCTTAGGTAGCCATACCACGCATGCACATGGATTATGTGATCATGCTGCTGGAAGATTACGAGATCACTCGGCGCATGTGTTACATAGGCCCTGGGATGACTAACCATTCCACCTGACTGATGGACAGCGCATGCGTGGCCATGTAGCTAAGGAGTGGCTAGGGATTCTAACAATCATAGCAATAGAAACCCTAACTACGATGTTTTTAGGCCAGTCTTAACTATCTCTAGGAATCTCCCTCAAAGGGACAGGCTCTCTGGCATCAGCAAAACCCCAGGATGTCGAAACTTAATAAAACACAGCGGATAAAAAAGGTGGCCAACATGGTGGTACACATGGCCCAGGGTCATTTACACCATTGTCCCTTGCCAGCTGAAGTGAATGTGGTGACTTTTAATGGGCTGACTGCTCCTTTGTGTTTCTCCTGGAAGCCTTCTCCCTCTGCCTGCCTTTCTTTTACACCACAGTCTTCAATACTCAAACTGCTATCACCCTGAGCACTGGTGTTCACAGAGAGGTGAGAAAGATCACAGATTCCTGCTCTCCAAAGTCCGGGGACTGCTGTGTATTTCTATTTCATGCTGGTAGAATGAAGCTAATTTCACCTTCTCAGCTGCTTTGATTCCAAGTGAGCAGCCAGAAGCAGCATGCAGCAGTGCAGGAACCTGCTGCTGTAGTTAGAAATCAATTGAGAGTGCACAGCTTCCTGAGTAAAGCTGCCCTTGGTGCAGGACGAAGGGAAGGAGGGGTTGGGGACCAGACTCCTTTGCAAGTGGCCTCCATGCTGGGCCTGTGCTTCCCAAGGCTGGCTCACAGCACCAAAGAACAGTCTTCTGTGAGGCCATGTGTTACTTTTGGAGGCCTCTTGGGATTGAATTCAATAAAGGCTAATAATGTCAGCTGACAGCCATTTGAGGAAGGCTGGGTGAGGGGAGGATGGAGAGGAAGGAATTATTTTTTCTTTGGAGATTATTAGAATACTCAAGGCGCTGGGAAAGGGTGCTGCAGCCACTGGGAAATTTTTAAAGCTGCAATTAACAAATAAATCTACTTGAATAGGAAAAGGTGAAGAATGGTTATAATCCTAGCACTAGGGATGCTGAAGCAGGAGGACCACAAATTTGAGGCCAACCTGAGCTGTAGTAAGTTCAAGGCTAGTAAGGAGTTCAAGGCTAGTAAGGAGTACATAGAAAGACCCTGTCTAAAAACAAACAAACAATAACAATGACAATGAAGTCATGTTATTGCCTGAGTGAATGTCCATGGGGGCAATGGACTTCAGGACTGTGTGACGCTGAACTTGATGAAGTCATCAAAGACATTTGTTTCTCCTCCTGTGTGTGTGTGTGTGTGTGTGTGTGTGTGTGTGTGTGTGTGTGTGTGTGTGTGTTCATAAATATGCATGTGCATGAACATTTGTGAGGACCAGTTGTTGATATCAGGTGTCTTCCTCAATTGCTCTCTATCTTTTTTGAGACAGGATCTTTCACTGAATATGGAGTTAGCACATTCTATTAGACTGGCTGGCCAGGGAGCCTCAGGGATCCACCTGTCTTTGACTTCTTTGTACAGGGATTGCAGTATACTGCTGCACACAGAATTATTACTATTTTCACATCAAAATTTAATTTTTATTTAATTAACTCCTTAATATTGGAACCTGTTAGAACTAGTTTAAGGAACATCTGAAAAATTAAACTTATTATATATAGATATTCATTCTAGTACAGAAATGTTAATTTAAGCCTGGCATGATGGTGTTTA